AAGACATGCATGTGTTAATAGGCCTGAGCCTGTGACCCTGGTAAAAGGATCTCACCTCTCCTGCTTCAGAGCGTACTCCAGCATCTTGATTCGTCTCACCAGGTCCTTCTTCAGGTTCTCCTGGCCCCGCCTCTCGCCCTGCAGGAAGGCGATCTGAGCCTGCGAGCAGAGGAAACACCAAATGAAGGCGGGGTCGAGGTTTAAACTTCATTTTAACATATTCTCCCACTCCAGACGTGCAGCTTCAGTCCCTGCTGCGAGTCTGATTAAACACCAAAGTTCACTTAACTGAATGAGGCTAAAGACAGAAACGCACACAAAAAGCAAAGCGAGCGAACAGCGAGCAGCGACGAGATTAACGACGCCTCAGGAGGTCCATAAACACATCTAATCTCCATTAAACACGGCGAAGACGGCTGTGGACGGATTACCGACCAACTCCACTGGGACCCAGCGGGGAACGACGCGGCGCCGTTCGCACAGTCACAATCGTCGGCTCGTTACAGTGCAGACCGACAGTGTGAGACTCAGCAGCTGCACTGTGGTGCGTTCAGGAGCCCACACTGGAGTTAGCCTCTGAGCAAAACACAAACAGCATGCAGCAGCGGTTTGGTGGGACATCTACAATAATCCAGCACCTTCAGTCCTGCGGTCTGATCCTGGATCAGCAGCATAAATAACTTAACCTAACAAACATATGAAAAACAACAACATAACAAAACCTGATTCATCGTGTTCAGTCAGAAGGAAGTCACCAACACTTGACACATGGCTGCTCTATAGAGCTGATCGCCCCACATCCTTAAGCCTGAGGGCCCCAAAGCCTCCTGGGAAATGGGTGACCGGGTGTCTGCAGGACTGATGGGAGACTTGTGACTGACTAACACCTACCCCGCAGCGTGGGAACGGGCACCATGTGACCCACCTGCCATCAGGTCGACCCCACCCGCCATCAGGGTTGACCCCACCCGCAGACTTGGCTGAGGAACATTACAGCTGCAGTTCCTGTAACGTCCACTGGAGGCTCCAGCAGCGATTCAGTCCCCACAGACCAACATTACAGCAGAAATAAACATGTTCACAGCCTGTATGACTGCATGAATCATTAGGGGCGGGGCCTCTTTGACTGACAGGCGGCTGTAGCTGCTAGCTGGACCCCTGGACTGTGTTTGTGCTGTTGGAGCACTCTGGCACATTTTTAATGACATCATCTGACCAATAACATGGCTGCTGTGAGGTTACTGTAGTAGGGCTGCCACAAACGATTATTTTGATAGTCACTAGTCACTGATTATTTTTGCGATTAGTCGACTAATCAGATCATCATCCATTGGACATAAAACGTACAGCTTATTGCACCAGCAGCATCTGCTCTTATATAACTATCATTAGCTTACAGCTTTAAGTGTTTAAGGTATGTG